TCATCGACAATCACTTCGTCGACAAACATTTCGTCGACAGTCGTTTCATCGACAATAACTTCGAATCACTTCGTCGACAGTCCATTTCGTCGATAGTTCTGACGTAGCATACGTACTGATTATAGGAATTATGACTTCAGAAGCATCAGGAAATTTGGATGCTAATTAGTTTGCAGGCATATTAATGATGCATCACGAAAAGAATCATCATCAGAAAAATAAATATTTCCAGAGTTTTGATTAAAACGAAACCTCAATACTATTCATTAGCATATCAATCATTATAATCACCAAAATAGTCAGTGACAATATCATCACCATCACTATCATCACATACAAACTAACTATCAGTGAAGGTGTTTGTCAACGAATGAACTGTCAGCGAAGTGATTGTCGACAAAGTGAATGCGATCGTATAGATACATTCTAGGGCTAAAATTCATTCATATAGATCCAGCCAATTTTTTTACCAGAAAATTTCTGACCAGCCAGTTGTTTGACAGAATGATTTTGTGTTCTGATGTTTGTTTGATTTTAAAAACCATTCTTGAATTTTTGGTATTTGCGCAGAAAAAATTTGAGACGTGTACAATTAATTTTTTTATATTCTTTATCTGTCTCTCACAATTAATAATCTCAGAGTATTTGTATATAACTGTTTTATTTTAGATTGTATAAAGAAAATCACTTTTTAACTAAAAATTTTCTTATATAAACAATTTTTAATATTTCAAAATAAAATAATGAGCCTTGAACTCATTATTACCACGGTTTAATATGGCAATTGAATTTCTTATTAAAATGTTTGAAACCTAATAGTCACAGCATTTTTGCCCAATATCTATCTCTATTTTAAATGTGTCATAATTTTCAGAATATTAATCCTTCCTTCAGCTCCCGAACCTTGATTGATTTACAACAAATCTCTAAAGTTCAATAAAACATATGAAACCTTATAATCTTTTACATCTTTTCAACTATAATCAAAATTATAAAGGCAAAATCTTAGTTTTGAAGTGAAAAGTAATGCTGTTTTAGTTAGTAGCTATAGCTTTACATAGAGAGCCTCTATCAATATATGGGAGGTTTCATTAGAAAGTTATAATGACAGTTTTATTTTAGATTAATAATGATGCTTGAATTTGTTATAAAAATAACAAGACCCAATTAGTCACACATATCAGAATTTCTATTTTACATGACTGCTTAAGAAATAACGAAGGGCAAAAAGGATCATTCATTTCTTTACAACCAAATTTTCTTGCCAAAGATCATTTTTTACCCCAAGTTCCATTGTGAACTTGACTATATTGAAAGATATGCTCGATTAAAATTGAATTATTCTGAACTGGTGTGTAATTAGTAAGAATCGATCAGTTGATGCAATTAAAATAAGATACATATGCAGTTGGGAAAATATTAATTGCATTTTTAACGCAATCACGTGTAATATTT